ACACTCTCACTGGCACTATATTTAATATCATTTTCCATGCCATATTCAGTGCATATTGTGAGGCGCTGCTGAAGACCAGCGCTACTCGGGCTAATAACTACAGGTCATCTGCATAAATTAGGTGGTTCACCAACATATCACCAACCATGCACCCAGTCTTACAGGCATTCAGTCTCTTGGACAGATCATCAAAGAATAGGAGACAAAACCCCTCCCTGTCTGACACCATTGCTTACCCTGAATGGGCCTGATACACTATTACCCCATTTCACTTGCATAGTTTGACTGGCATACCCATAAGCCAGTATTCGCACTAAATACCCAGGCACCCCTCTGTCTCACAATTTTATGAGGAATTTTCTATGGAAAACACGATCAGAAGCTTTAGAAGCATCAATGAAGCACATTTAAACAGATGAGTTCAGACCTCGATATTTGTTGACAATACTGAAATATGTTAAATATAATTTCACAGTTACATCTAAATGTTAAAACAAAATGTTAAATGTTAAATCTAAATGTGCTTGTTGAAACTAAATATTTAGCTAATATGCAAATGCACACTGCCAGTCAGCAGAAGTACCAAGATAAAAGCCCGGTGGTCAGACTGTGTTTATAGCATCATATAACAAATTGAAACCAAACTAATAACATTTAACATTTAGATTTAGGTTTACACCACTTTTTTAAATGTTGTTTGAAGCTAAATGTAATTGATTGTAAAGCCAAACCCTGTTCTTTATTCCTAAATGTAACCACGTGTGTGTGTGTGTTGAAGGAAAAAACATCAGTTGATGGTGTTGTAGCGACGTAGTATGGGGTGCCGTTTGTAAAGTGTCTCACGCTGAAAATAACATCAATATTTTGCCACATTTAGCTTCAAACAATGTTTAAAAAAGTGTTTTACGTCAACTTTTACCACATTTACAGCAATATTTGTTAACTAAGAAATATATTAAATAGTTAAATCTAAATATTAAATCTAAATCTAAATGTTAAATCTAAATGCTAAATCTAAATCTAAATATTAAATCTAAATCTAAATGCTAAATCTAAATCTAAATGTGAAATCTAAATATTAAATATAAATATAAATATAAATGTTAAATCTAAATATTAAATCTAAATCTAAATCTAAATGTTAAATCTAAATGCTAAATCTAAATCTAGATAT